AGATGGGGTTCCCAGGTAAATAATGTGCAATCCTCTTGCTGTTTTAAGACAGCTGCGCTGTGAACCCCACGGGTTTATTATCTCTGTGTGTCGGGGTGTGGGGTGCTTAGTAGATTCTCAAAGCCCAGCGCAAAGTCATCAGTTACTGAGGAGGCCCTGCCACCTAGTCCAACCCTTTTAGCAACAGTTTCAAACTCCTGTAACTCACATTAAAATGATGTGAAATTTTAAAGTCTATTTAAAAGGCATATTTCTGAAGTCTAAACATAATGAGTGATATTTCACAAAATAGGAGCTCAACTTTACAATTCTGGTTTTCAATTTCTTTGAAATTTATGGTTACTGTTGTTTTATTATTGTTGTTTTCCTGACATATGAGTAACTTAAAATTGGAGAAATACATTTTTTTTCAGCATGAATTTTAATTTAACATGTTTGTGCCAATAAAAAGAATCTCTTTTTCTGCTAAGCCTCTGTGGCAAGAGGCTTCCAGCCAACCCAGAGTCCCCCTTCTTCCTTATTTAAAATACTGACCCAAAATAAATCCTAGAAAGGAATGGTCAGTGCAAGTCATGTTACAGTTCCTGCATGCGCTCTTACTACACACAGATTTGCTCTCATGTTTCCATCTACTGGCTTTCCTAAAGGGTTTATGCCCAAAGTCTTTCTAAACTATCATAAATTACTAATGATAATAATAGAAATAAATGTTTAAACAAGGTCATGTTGTGTTTTCATCCACATTTTCAAAGATATTTCATATACATTCTTACCCTGAGTGTGGAGAGATAGGCACACTGGTATAGACTGCATTGTGCCCCCCAAATTGTTGCAGCCCTGGCAGAGTAACACACACACACACACACACACACTCTCTGATGAGGTCACTGAAAGTGTGCAGCCTCCCTGAAGGCCAATTTGGTGACACAGATCAGTGAGGTGTCCAGGGTAAATAACCACCGATCTAGTTTCTCCACTCCGTGAAGTCTAATCCATGGAAATGGGAGATATATATATATAGAGATAGATAGATAGATAGATATAGATATATATATATAAAGATGTTTCTCATAGAATTATTTATAAAAACAACCTAAATGTCCAAGTATGAAGGAATGATCAAGTCAATGATGGCATAGCTCTAGAACAATAAATTATGCAGCCATTTAAAATTGTTTTTGCACGATGGCCATCAGGCTCACGGAAAGATGCCCCACGTCACCAATCATTAGGGGAATACAAACCAAAACCACCATGAGGTTATCACCTCCCACCAGTCAGAACGGCCACTATGCAGAAGAGAAGAAATAACAAGTGTTCGTGGGAATGTAAACTGGTGCAGCCACTGTGGAAAGCAGTATGGAGGTTCCTCAAAAAACTAAAAATACCATTCAACCCAGTAATTCCACTTCTAGGAATTTGCCCAAAGAAAACGAAATTCCTGATTTGAAAAAATATATGCACCCCTATGTTTATCGCCACATTATTTACAATAGCCAAGGTATGGAAGTAACCTAAGTGTCCATCAATAAATGAGTGGATAAAGGAAAGGTGGTTCAAATGCATGATGGAATATTACTCAGCCATAAAGAGAAAGAAATCCTACCATTGCATGGATGGATGTAGAGGGTATTATGCTCAGTGAAATAAGCCAGACAGAGAAAGATAAATACTGTATGATTTCACTCATCTGTAGAATCTAAAAACAAACAAAAGAGAAGGAATAAAACAGCAATAGGTTCCCAGACACTGAGGAGTGACTGGTAGTTACCATGGGGGAGGGGCTGGGGTGAGTGGGTGAAACAAGTGAAGGGGATAAAGAGGAACAAAGCCCTAATCATAACATAAATCAGTCACAGGGATGAAAGCATGGTGTAGAGAGAATATAGTCAATAGTTCTGTAGCCTTTTTGTGTCAACAGATGGTAACTACACCATTTGGGGTGACCGTTTAATCATGTAGATATCTGTTGAATCACTACATTGTATGCTTGAAACCAATATAATATTGTATATCAACTGCACTTAAGTAAAAAATATCAAAATATAAATAAATGATAAAAGTAAATTGTTCATGCATAATTTGTACTTATGACAGCAGGTGGGGGGTGGAAATGGTCCAGCAAAACTAATCCTGTAACACACCACCACAGCAGGCACAGCGAGAACTCAGGGGGCCCTTAGGGCACACAGCGGCTGTCTCTGGCAAGGGGGATAACAAGTGATTCTTATTTTATTCGTTACACTTTTCTGGATTTCTATTGTTTTAATAATAATCATGTAAATATGGGGAACACTCCCTGTAAGAATTTTTCTCTGGAGATAAAGAAAGGGAAGAAATTTCCAATCAATGAAGCAGGAAACCACAAGCACGAAGGGAGGGCTGGGCCTGACCCGTGGCCCAGAATCAGCTGGCCGAGCTGCACAGTGAGCCGAGGCCTCCGTGCGGTGCGGACTTCGGGTCTGTGCTGTGCCGGCACCAAACAGCCCATCTCCCACCAGCCTTCCAGGCAGCTGATGTCCCTCCCATCTGCACGCCCAGACGGTCTCCCTGGGAAGTCTGTGGTGCAGAGGCGATGGGCACGTGGGCAGGAGCCCCTGGGCACACAGCAAAGTCCGTAGCTGGTGGATCAGGGCACATCCGAATTTGGGGACACAATGTAGCTATTTTTAAAAGTACAGTTTATTTATACATCCTGATAAGGAACCGTCAGAAACATATAAATTATATGATGAAAAAAGAAAGTCACACAACAGTTTACTGTATATATATGTGTACAAAAGCATGAATATGCAAAGCCTGCCCTACAAGGACACTCCGGAAACTGTGAACAGCAGTTGCCTCTGGGAAGTCACTAGAGACAAGATGTATGCATTTAAAATGGCAGGAAGCCTCACTTTTAATGTTCACATTTTAAAACTATGCATTTTACCCTGGGCATAGGTGGATCTGATCATAAAAAAATAATCGCTAAAAATAACTTGGAAGTAAGAGAAGTTAAAGGCATAAGACTACTTTGTTAAAGTACCTCCTAATGTGCTAATTGAATTTAATAAGAAATATTTTCAGCATTTTAAGTAGGGCATAGTTTAGCCTTTTAAAATAGGGAATACTTAAATTTTTTTTAAATAGTAACTAGCACGTGGATCTAGGAATGGATTTCAGCATGGACACTTAATGACAGCAGCTGCCACTTAACATTCACCACGTGGCACAGCTTACTTAGTGACAGAACCAGGACACAGATCTGAGCCTCAGCCTCCGAGTTCGTGACTCCAAATGCACATGGACTGGGCCAGCCAACTTCTGAGGAGACCCCCCCAGTCAGTGCCAGGCTCTCCCTCCAGCATCCAGGGGCTGCAGGACTCACACTGCGCAAGCCACCCAGTACCTCTGCTCTGGCTCCCCATTTACGGGGAAAGGCCAAAACCCTTCACCCGCAAACAGCAAAGACTCCAAAGTCCATCACAACTTCATTCTGTTTGTATGTGTTCATAGTTACGAGGATGCCACGCAAACATGATCATGTCTTTTCTTTGTAAAAAGACCCTGCATTTGGGTGGCTATCTGGGTGCATCTAGTGGAATTTCTAGCACTTCAATACAAAGGATGGAGTAAGCTGCAAGAGCAGGTGGTTTATAAGATAGAAAAAAAAAATGTCTGTCAAAATGAGTGAGAATCATTAATGTTGTGGGTCAAGCCAAAAAAAAAGCAGCTATGAGGATTTGCGTCTCCACCAGGAAGGACCCATAAGCCAGTAATGCTCCCTGGGGTCTCTACATTCTTCAGAAAGAGATGCCTTTCCCAAAATTTAGAAATACTGTATCTTCCGTTATTTAAAAACAGCTCTCAGGTTTACGAAAGGCACAGAGGACAGACCCAGCGCATTTAGTGGCTCCTCGAGAAGTGCACGGAAAGGTTCTGCAGAGATGATGGCCCGGGATTCCAGGACAAACGAAAGGACACACTGGCTAGTAAGCAGGCTGTGCTTCCCGTATCCTTGGCTTCTGGGGTGGCTCCGCCAGGCCTGCAGGGCTTTCTGCCTCGTGGCCTCCATCCCTTCGCTGGTCGGCATGAGAATGGAGGGCAAGTGGCCAGGAATGTGGCAGATGTGACTGGCCAAGTGGTGCTGGGCCTGGACATGCTGCAAGTGTCACTCACACTGACAGCCATGACTTTGCATAAATTCACTGAAATCCTTCCCATCAGGGGCAGAAGGTGGTAAAAAGAAGGGTACTATCTTCATGTCAGGGATTTTAATCCCTAAAATTTCAAAACATCAGAATCTAAAAGGATCTGGGGGAGGTCTGCCATTTGGGGAATTCCCACCCCATGACAAGCCCTGGAAATGTACTGGTCACCCCTCGCCACACATTGCAGGTGAGCATTTCCAGCCTGTTCTACACATGAGGCAGCCAATTCAGAGAGATGATGTGAGCACGGTCACTAAGACGGAAAGGTGAACAGCGGCCTCTGAGTGCCCTTCCTGCAAGGCCAGAATCAAAAGGCAGATCGGCCCACAAAGCGGTCTTGATCAACTGGGACGTATTTAACTAGGGACGCCTGCATTCAGCACCGTCAGAGGTCCCCAGGGCAGCAGGGATTGAGGCTCCGACCTTCTGATCCTCTGGCAAGTCCTCACTCGGACAGGCTGTAAGAGCTCAGGGTGAGCAAGTAACTTTTATATTTCCTTTCAACATGCAGCATCTGCAACTGCTGGGTTAAAAAATAAATGAAAAACCTAAGACTACACTGTGTGCAATACCCCAGTGGCATGGCAATTAGAGTGCTTTTCCAAAATCAAGGTTCAAGAGGAGAAAATGTAGCACCTGAAAGGCTGAATCACACAGAAGGTGTCTCCAGAAGAGAAATCAGATGCAGAGAGAGAGGAGGGCAGGAGGAAGGGGAGAGGGCAGAGGTGAAGGGTGATTCCTGGGCTGCAGGGTCACATTTTAGGGCTGCAGGAAGGTGCAGGCCCTCACCCACGAGCCTGCACTCACTTGATATGCCGGGATATACGATGAGGGGTCTGCCACCTGGAAGGCACATTAATATCACAATGCACCACTGGTTTTATCTGAAAAAGAGAAAATACGTCTGAGAATTCAGTCCAAACTAACAGACACTTGTTCAGTACTGAATACATGCTTGGCACCAGCCCAGAAACACACACAACACGGGGCCTGCCAATAGGACGTGCAGGGGTGGGCCCCGAGGGCTCCAGGAGCCAGGGTGCCTGTGGGGTGGCGGACAGGACTCCGACCAGGCAATGCCAGGTGACCGAGGTCTGGGGTCAGAGGCCCACACACTCCAAGTGAGGAAGAGGTCCAAGTGTGGCGAGCAGAGTGCAAGGGGGTGGGCAGTACATGAAGGCTCGGAGAGAGGGGCGGGTAGCTTGTGCAAAGGTCCCAGCCAGCCGCTCACCCAACATATGCACCTGACCTACCCCCCAAGTCTGGCCAAACTGCGGAGCCCCAAGAGTGGATGGCCGGCCTCTAGGTGAGGCTGTGGGGCTCCAGCCCAGTGAGCAGGCGCCTCCTGACAAGCCTCCCTTCTTGAATCCGAGGGCTGAGCCACCTCCCAGTCTCACTCGGCTTCAGCCTCACTGGGGCCGAGACCTCACAGGAGAAGAATTCCTGAGACCTGCCGTGGCAGCAAAGTCTCTTCTTCGCTGTCCTATTGCTTGAGGAAGAACAGGAAAGCAGGTGGCAGGATGCACTAATGCGGACACCCTGTGCTGCGCCCATGGCCCCACGCGGCCCCAGAGCTCCCTCAGAACCTGTCCCCCTGAGCTCCCTGAAAGGGTGCTCCCGGGCCCTTCTCGCCCCCAGCCCACCCTGCAGAAGAACTCAGGGGCCTTCACTCCCTCCCCTTCTGGAGTCCCAAGGCCCCGCCTGGCATGAGGCCTGTGCACTCCCTCTCCCTCCCCAGCAACCCTGCCAGCCCTGCGGTGCCCTCTGTCGCGCCCCACACCCTGCGACGTCCACTGGCCGGTCCACGCAGGCCCTGGCCTCTGTGGCACCATGACTTTGCCCAGGGTCCTCCAGCCCAGAGCCTGCCACCCCCCGCCTTTCCCCCCACCCACGCTCATCAGGCCCTGCAAGGCCACGTCTGAGCATCCCCACCAGCACGCCCTGTCCCGGCTCCCTCGCCCCACACGCTGCCGCTCCTGCAGGATGCCACCCACCACCCTGGGAGTCCTGGCAGAGATGCGTTAGGACCGCTTGCCTCACCCCAGCCCACCAGGAGGCCGAGTGGGACCCCCGTCTGCAGGGGCTTCACCCACAGGCCTAGTGCTGCTGATCCCCTCTTCCCACGCAGGACCCCTTCTCCCTTCTGACTCAGGCCAGCACGGAGCTCACTGAAGGGACCGAGAGGCTCGGCATCTGAAGGCTTTGCTGCCTGCTTGGGGCTCAGGTCTGACGAACGCGTCCCTCCCTCATTTCCTGGCTCCTGAGCGTTAGTCGCCTCTGCCTGGAACCTGGGGCCTGCTCGTGCTCTGAGTCCAATGCCAGGACCACCTGCCTGTGCAGTCTCTGCCCTCACCCAGACACCTGTGTCCAGGCCTGCCAGCTCCCCATCCCAGCTGCGCACCCCTACCCTCCCAGGCTGCAAAGCTCACGCACGGACAGGCCGCCCAACCCTCTAGCGCTGCGCAGCCCCACTGAATTGTCTCAAGTCACATACCAGTCGTCTACAAAAGTCCCTTTGCCATGAGTAACACCAAGAACTTGAGTCACCTGGAGAGCTCGGGGTGCTGCTGGGACCTCTAACACAGTGACAAATTATTGGCATCCCCTGCTTTCCCCAGCAGTTTTCTTAAAGGAGAGGGGAAATGTGTTTTTCTGGGTCACCGGAAGGAGACGAGGAGGCAGTGCCCACGTGGTCAGGGCTGAGAAGGGTCGGAAGAGCCACGGTGGGGCTGCCGTGGAGAAGGTGCTCTGCCGTCCTGGGAAAGCGGGGATTGCCCCCGATCAGAAGGCAGAGCGAGTCTGGGGCTGCTGGGTGGCCCCGGGGAGGGCAGTGCTGCCCTCTGGCCCCTGCAGCCCCTTCTCTCCCCTCCCCAGGCCCCCAGCCAGCATTCTTGCAGCTTTCTGCACACCAAGCTCATGCGCAATGCCTGGGGCCCGGAATGTTCCACCCCCCAACCTCTGCATCACGCTCACCTTAGGCACCAGCTCCGCACCACACACCTTGATTCTTTTCATCACAGCACCTGATACTCTCTAATGTCTTGTGTGTGTTTATTTGCTCATTATTGATTCCTCCCTGCAGAACGTAAGCCTCCTGAGAGCAGAGACCTTGATCGTACAATAAGATGCACCCAGTCCTGAACAATGAGAGGCCCACAGTAGGAGATCAATATCTAGTTCATGAGTATGAATGAGTGTGAATGAAGGCTGTGATGACAAGTGACGACCAGCTCTGATACTCTGGAAAGGACCCCAGAAAAGGTGAGGTCACTGAAGACTGTGGAAATGCAAACCTACATCCATTGTTACCCCACCATCAAACTATATATAAAATTCTACACCCCTGCATCCTAACAGTGAAAAGATCGGTGCCGTGAATATCAACACCTACTATGAACTCACAGACTAGTGTGAAAACCAAACACAAATTGCCCTCCGCAAACTCTATTGAGATACAGCCACCCAAAGAAACAGCTTTCTGCCTGATGGCATGAAATTATGGGAACAATGAGCTAATTGCTCTTTTATGTGTTAATGATCCATTAACCCTGGTATCACCTGCCTAATTAAATAACTCCAGCAACTAAATACATGATCCTGGATATTTTTCCCTTGTACTCTGTATACTAATCAGGTCCTAAGAGGCATCTAGCAAATGTGGTTTTCTCTTACTGTCTGATGACAGCTTCAAGGTGTGTGTCACTCTCCTGGCCTGAGAGGCTGAAGGACTAATAAATAGGCTTTCAAGCACCTCATCCAAAAGTGCCAGGTAATTAAATGTATTTTTCAGTTTCTTTATACCATGTATCAGGCACTAATTGCCAAAATAACTAGGCCAAACATCCAGGTAACAAGGAATCAGAGAGGTCACATAGTCTTCCCAAGAAGTGGTTATCAAGTGTCCTGGCCACAATGAGCCATTAAAAATACTTCATGTAGCTTTGAGCAAAATGGAGAATTGCACGTCTGCCATGGTGGCCTTTACAAGCCTGTGCTTTGAGTCACCTAGTTGCGTGAACTTGCTCAAGATCTGTCACCTCCCAAAGTCCCTTTTTCTTCGCACATGCAATGCGGATAAAAGTAGTATGTGCCTCACAAGTTCTGCTTTCAATCTGAGTAGCACAAAATGAGATAATGCATCATCCGGTGCTTCGCGAAACGCAGGCATGAAGGCCGAGCTCAGCTGGCAGTGACTGTTACGTCTGTGGTGTCAGGCTCTCCTCACCCTGCTGCAACTGCCTCACAGGACATCCTCACTGCCCCTTCCACGCAAAACCCAACAGAAAGACTCAAGAGAACCTAGCACCAAGAAGAGGCCTCATCACGTAAGCACGTCTTGGGGAGCATCTCATAATAAGCCAGTGGGACACATCGGGGTCTTGTCCATGTAGCGCCTGAAAGATGCACTAACAGAGATGGCCCCGAAGTGACGTGACAGTAGATGTTTGCCTAAGGGTCTGCACAGAAGCATTTCTAGAGAGACACAGGATTGCCACTGATCGCAGAAGCCAATATGCAAAGTGCAGTCTTTACATTTCTTGTTTATCCATTAAGAGAAAGGGTTGCCCTGGGTCGCCTCCAAAGTTACTCAAATACTTCTATGGTGCTATGAATCAAAAAACAATCAGCTGTACTCCTTCCCAAAAATGTCAAAGGGTCTTAAAGGTTAGCCATTCTGGAGCAGTGATGCATGGGATGGGAAAGGGCAGGCGGATCAGCAGTCACCTTCACCCACCTGGCACCACCACCCGTAGTAATGTGGCGAGCCCTCAGTGCCTTCTGCCGCCTCTGCCTGGCTCAGGCTGCACGCGGGCTCCTGACGGGGAGCACGGGGCACAGGCAAGCGTCAAAAAAGGACCCAGACGAGGGTCTCATGACAGTCTTATGATCTCAGGTGCTTCAACAGGTGGGTCATGATTCTAAAATTCAGGATCTGTCCTTCTGAACATCTGGGAAGGAAGCAGGGGCACATGCGTGCCCAGCCCTCACTGAGGGCCCCCACCTGAGATGCCACTGGCAGGAGAGGGTCCTGCGTGGTAGCCCTCGTACTCTCCAGTAGCTGACCAGAATACGACAGGCCTTGCATGGAAGTTGCCAGAGCTAGAGGCGCGGAGGGGACTCAGGCCCACCTGGCCCAGCAGTCCCACATTCCCAGCAGGGCGCGGGGCCGGCAAGGTGTTGCCAGAGTCTGTCTCAAAGCCAAGGCGCTTGGATCCTGGACAACAGGCTCCTCTCTGCTCCCAAACAGCAACAGAATGTTCCACCCCCCAACCTCTGCATCACGCTCACCTTAGGCACCAGCTCCGCACCACACACCTTGATTCTTTTCATCACAGCACCTGATACTCTCTAATGTCTTGTGTGTGTTTATTTGCTCATTATTGATTCCTCCCTGCAGAACATAAGCCTCCTGAGAGCAGAGACCTTGATCGTACAATAAGATGCACCCAGTCCTGAACAATGAGAGGCCCACAGTAGGAGATCAATATCTAGTTCATGAGTATGAATGAGTGTGAATGAAGGCTGTGATGACAAGTGACGACCAGCTCTGATACTCTGGAAAGGACCCCAGAAAAGGTGAGGTCACTGAAGACTGTGGAAATGCAAACCTACATCCATTGTTACCCCACCATCAAACTATATATAAAATTCTACACCCCTGCATCCTAACAGTGAAAAGATCGGTGCCGTGAATATCAACACCTACCATGAACTCACAGACCTAGTGTGAAAACCAAACACAAATTGCCCTCCGCAAACTCTATTGAGATACAGCCACCCAAAGAAACAGCTTTCTGCCTGATGGCATGAAATTATGGGAACAATGAGCTAATTGCTCTTTTATGTGTTAATGATTCATTAACCCTGGTATCACCTGCCTAAT